AATAGATTATGTGGTAATCCTTCAACAAGTAACACATTAGAAATGGAAGGGAGGTTACCATTACCTATAGTTCTAGAGCCAATTATCTTTCCCTTCTGGTTCCCTCCAAACTTCACATCACCTCCAGATCTAAGCTCTAGGCTTTGGAACATAGACCTTCTTCCCGTCATATGATGCGAGCAGCCATAGTCCAGGTACCGTGACTGGTGTTTCAACTTTGCTGCTAAGGATGCCTGCAACAAAAATAATCTTGTCCTTAGGTACTCATATTTTCTTGGGTCCTCTGGGGTTAGTAGGTTTGCAATTCTTTTTGAATTTCTTTCCCTTATAAGCATCCTTGTTCTTCTGAGGTTTTGATTTATTAAACACAAGTTTGTTCAGATCAGAACGTGTGTGTTTAATATCATTTAAATGACCAAATTTGAAATGAGTATATAGAGGAGAATACTTTATGATCATTTTATCAACAGGTTTTGGATTTAAATCCTTCCCAGAAGGTGATTCATGTCCAATACCTTTTCTGTTGTTTCTGCTTAGGCCATAGATCATTGAAGCCATCTTGCTTCTATCTAGGCCTCTAGCCAGAAACTTCTAAAAGTTATAGTCATACTCTTCTAAAATATTTTTAGAGCATGATATAAGTTCTGAGTCAAATTTCTGAGCATTTTCTAAATCATTTTTTATTTTAAGATTTTCTGCTTTAAGCTCAGCAACCTCAGACCTCAGCAGATCATTCTCAGATGCAAGACAACTTTGAAGCTTCTTGTATTTGAGTTTGATTTTGCTGTAGCTTTCCAGAATTTCTGATAAACTTTCAGAAAGTTCTGCTCTAGTGAGTTCAGAAAATACCTCCTCAGAATCTGATTTTAATTCTGATGCAGCAGCTTCTTCGTGGTCCTCCACGTCAGCCATTAGTGCTACATTAGCACACTCATCTTTAGATTCTGATGAAGACTCAGATGCATCTAAATCATCCCAGGTTGCCAACAGAACTTTCTTTTTGTTATCAGACTTCCTTCTTGGCTTCTCCTTCAGACGTTTTGCGCATTCATTCTTATAGTGCCCAGGTTCCTTGCATTCATAGCAGACCACCTCTTTCTTTCCAGATCTTCTGTGCCCAGAAAACTCTTTATGTTGATCTGGTTTCTTGAAGTTTTTGAACTTCTTCTGTTTATGCTTCTAGAGTTTGTTGATCCTTCTGGACAGCAGGGATAATTCATCTTCTTCTCCAGAAGAAGATTCTTCAGAACTTTCTTCTATAACCTGCAAAGCTTTGGCAGATTTGTTAGACTTTAAAGCAACAGACTTACCTTTCTTATGAGGTTCGTCTTCTTCTAGTTCAATCTCATGACTCCTCAAAGAGCTGATCAGTTCCTCCAGCGTGATCTTGTTCAAATCATTTGCAAGCTTCAGAGTTGTGACCATTGGTCTCCATCTGGTTGGCAAACTTCTGATGATCTTCTTGACATGATCAGTAGTGGAGTAACCCTTGTCCAGAACTTTTAAGCCAGCTGTGAGAATCTGAAATCTAGAGAACATAGCTTCTACAGTTTCAGATTCCTCCATTTTGAAGGCTTCATATTTCTGGATCAGTGCCAGAGCCTTGGTCTCCTTTACTTGGGAGTTCCCTTCACGAGTCATCTTCAAAGATTCAAACATATCAAATGCAGTATCTCTGTTTGTTATTTTCTCATACTCAGTATGAGATATTGCATTTAATAAGATGGTTCTTGCTTTGTGGTGGTTTCTAAACTCCTTCTTCTGTTGATCAGACATAGATTTCCTGTCAACCTTTTTCCCTTCATCATTGGTAGGATAAATGTAACCATCAGTTACAAAATCCCACAAATCAGCATCATAGCCTAGAAAGAAGCTTTCTATTCTATCTTTTTAGTAGTCAAACTTCTCACCATCAAACATGGAAGGTTTGGTACTGATTTTGTCTTTATCATCGTATCTGTTGTTGGAAGAAGTTGAAGTAGAAGCTTCAGCAGCTATGATGAATAAAGAAAAAGATATAAGGAGTTTTTCTCAACTAGATCTTTTCTGTCACGGTTAAGTGAGAGCACTTTCAGAACCGGAGCTCTGATGCCAACTGAAGGTGAGAAAAACACTTAGAAGGGGGGTTGAATAAGGGTTTTGAAATAATTATGCCAATAAAAACAACACAGTATTTTTATCCTGGTTCGTTGAACTCAACTAATCCAGTCCACCCTACCAAGGTGATTTGTCTTTCTCAACAAGGACTTAATCCACTATATTCAAACAGATTACAGTGTCAACCACTAAGAACAACTGTCTTAGTCTTCTCAAGAAATTCTGACCATAACTTGGTTTTCTTAAGGAACCTTTTACAAATAAATGTAAACTAGCAAGTGTTTAAGATACTTCTAAAAAGCTATATCACAACTGTGATTTTTACACTTAGATTAAGAACGAATAAAAACTATTCAGCTTATGAAATAAATTGTACGAGAGCTTGATAGTAGTTTTCAGTTTGATTTCTCAATAAATCGTCAATTCGTCAACTTTGAAATGTTGTTGAAGAGATCCTTTTATAGAGTAGAAAGTCCAATGCTTGAAGACTGTGCGTAGCAGAGTAGCTGTAGCCTTTTTGTCTTCTATTGACTTTAGCTTTCCCAGAAAAGGAATATTCAGACAAATCCTTTTTGTCTAATTTCCTGTGCCATACATGAATAAGGAAAGAGTCGTTTGGAATATACCAACGGATATATCTTTGAATAATATTTTCTTCAACAAGCTTCTGTCTCAAAGTTATCAACATCAGATTCTAGATGTTATCAGAGTTTTGCAGCCAATGTGCTTCAGCGTGAATATTAATCAGAGTAGAGTTTGAATAACAGAGCCTCTGTAATTGCAGCGAAAAGTACTTTCAGAATCTTCTTGAAACAATGCTTGAAACTCTTCATACAAATTCTTCAACTACGCTTCAGAGTTTTCTGCAGCTTCTGCTTCAGAGTCTCTTCTGACAGCGCTCAGAGTCTTCTGATGACTTGCTTCTGATTCTTCAGAGCTTTGCGTAGAGTAATGTTCAGATGCATTTTTGCTTCCATAAGAATATTTATTTTAATATCTGAAACAAAAACACTTGAACAAAATTAGAATATATATTTTCTTAATACAAAATTTCATTAGTGTTGTCATCAAAACATAGAGATATATTAAACACTAATCTGTGCTCTAACATACATAATATCTTAGATTATTAGACTTGTTTGTTAGATTTATATTTTTGAGCTACTTATTTCGAACAAAGTCTTTTGAACTTGTCAAATTATAGAATGATAGTTATAAATTATTAATTAAATTGGTTGAATTTTGTGCTTTATAGGTCATTTTGTTTGTGTATTATAATTTTCATGTTTTTGCGTGTGTGTATATATATGTCAAATTATCATTTTGCCCTTCGATATGATCTTAAGTGTCGTGCTACGATCCTAGTTTTACGATTTTTTATAGATTGTCTAATTCTAATGTGTCCGCCCCGCCCCGTTTTTTTTCGGGCATGAGCATTAACATAACTTTATATATTTTTATATTTAAAAAGTGTTGTTCCCGCAAGTCCACCTCGTCCCGTTTGCACTTTTATATAAAGTGGACTAAGATTTTAGACCCACACCTTCAAAGATGTCCGTCCACCTTATTTTTTGCAGGCTTTTGCAGAACGGAATTTAACGGAACATGCATGCCTGATTGTCATTTCTAATTCACACAACACAATGGGAGAAAACAGAACATGACAGAAAAATTGGGAGCCTCAGAGAGTGGAATGTTACATCTGGACGATATTTGGGCGGTGAAGGCCGTTTGCTACAGCTGGTTTTGAGCGAGGCTGCTTGAGCAGTGGTTCACGAGGCAGAGGAAGTTTAGTTTCTCATTTTTGGAGGGTGATTCTGTGGTAAGAGTCAACGAGTTGCTTTTTACCATTTTAGCTTCTACTTATTTTTCCTTTTGGTTTTATGCTTCTTAAAAAATACTTTTTGAATTTTATTTACTTCTAGTGTTTTTGCCTTCTTAAATCTTACTAACAGTGAGGCAAATAGGGTAACTTTAAGCATTGAGCATAAATAGTCCTTATGATTTTTCAACAATAAAATAAAAGAACGTGTCGAATGAATGATTGGTTTGGAGTTTAGGCACCTATCACTTCTATGTTAGGAATTTAGGATTTAGCATTAACATTTTGTCCAAACAATCACTATAGGCATTGGAATAGGTTTTTCAAGTTCTACCAACTGCTTTTATCCTTTACCTACAGACTATTGTTGTCATAAGTTATTTTTTCACTAAAAGTATACCACTAGCTTCACTCTTATCTTCTACACGATTAAATAATGGAAAAAAAAAAAGTTATATTTTTTTTCTATATACAATTTCTCCAATCATATTTATTATTCTCTTTACTTTTCACTTTCTATTCCCTTACCTTTGAAACGAAACATCGCATTAATAATAGAACTTGACTCTTTACAAACTAACTCTTGATTGGGTAACAGGGAATAGAAAGTAAGAGGAAACAAAGGTAAGGGAATAGTATTAGTAGAACAAGCTAGGCTATTTTGTTTGCCCCCTAAAAAAACCTGTCATAGAATTAGTAGCACCATTTATTTATTCAGAAAATTAAATCTTGTAAGTATATTCTATTTGGAGCTCAATTTTACTATTCAAAATAAATTTTCATATTAAATATTTTTTCAAAATTTTATAATCAAATAAAAGTGGTAACAGAAAATAAGATATGAATAAAGAAATATCAATTTTAATATATTTTAAGATCCATGATTATTAATGTCCAAAATAGTCATCTTCACGTATCTCATCTATAAATATACCCAAACATAGCCTAATTTCTCTTAAACCAACAACACAACATTTGCAACTACCAACTGTGTTGAATAGTGGTTACTAGATTGTTCTTTTATTTTGTATATCTCTGACATAAGTGTCTCTTCTTAAAAAGAAGAACACACAGATAAACCATGGAAGGAGGTGTACCAGAAGCAGATATGTCTGCTTTCAGAGAATGTTTGTCTCTTTCATGGAAAAATCCTTATGTTCTTCGTCTTGCTTTCTCTGCTGGAATTGGTGGCCTCCTTTTTGGCTATGACACTGGTAATTTTAATTACTATACTCCATTTTTTGAGTTCAATTATCATATGTTTCTCTAAACTAAAGCATCATTACTTTTCTCTTTTTTTAATAGCCACTTATTTTCTTTCGAAATATAGATTTATTGGCTACTTTGACAAACGTATCACCAATTCAAATATATACTTAGGTTGTATCAGTTAGTTGTATTTGAGTGAAATTTTTTATATTATTAAGAATTTCAACCCCAATGCATGCGACTTTTATTTTAAAATTGAGTTAAAGGTTAAGAAGTTCAAACTAAGCTGAAAGAAAAAAAAAATAGTTTAAGTATAGTTTTTATCCTTCTATTTTACCTTATCGATTTTATCTGATTTAAGAGATTGATCCCTATATTTTAAATTTAAATAATTTTGATTTTTCTATTTAAAATTTTTAAATTTAAACGGTTTTAACTTTTTTTTATACTTTTTCACTTAAAATTAATGATATTTGTATTTTTTAAATGATAAAGTATTTGTGAAATATGACCCATTATCGTATAGAAATATATTGTTGAACTTCATAAACAAAAATATAAGTTAAAAACGAATATTTCATCGATTTTTTATAAAAAAATTATAAGACAAAGACTAAAACTGTAAAATCAAAATTGTTTGAATCTAAAATAAGGAGACTAATTTTATAAATCAAACAAAATTGAGGGACGACAAAGCCTGCAAAAATAAAATAGTAACATAGTAATATGATATACTAATATTTTTGAATTGAAAAAAAACTTAGCATATTTTTAAATGATGTATAAATCCTGTTTTCTTTTTCTTTTGCTTAAAAGCTATTATTACCATTATTTATTTGACTGAATTATTATTATTATTATTATTATTACTATTATTATTATTGTCATTATTATTGAGTTTGATAATTGGTTGGTATATGCAGGAGTTATATCTGGAGCTCTTTTGTATATAAGAGATGACTTCAAAACAGTAGATAGAAAGACATGGCTTCAGGTAATTGCCTAACTCCTTTTAGAGCTTGACTAATGTGATATTTATTTTTTTTATTTATTAATTTCTTCTTATTTATTATATTTTAATTCATATGATTATTTCATTATTTATTATTAATAAGATTAATTTAATAAATGACACCTACTTTATTAATGAAATCAACACAATTAATCACTATTAAAAAAAAAGTAAAAATCATCTATTGTGAGATGGAGAGAGTATTGAATTATCTCACTTTTCCTCAAACAAATCCCTTTTTTCTTGATAATTTCAACCTTTTCCTTTAATGAACTTTAATGCCCTTGCATGTTCTCTCCTTCACAGCCACCAACTTAATCCAATAAAAACAAAAAACATTGCTTTCTATGAATTACATTGCTTGGATTAATGTATTGTTGAAAAATGTCCACTTTTTACTAAAAAATCTCTCTCTCTTAATTATTCATGACTACTATGTTCTTAATAACCTTGGTGATTTTTTTTACTGGTATAGCAGCTTAGGAAATGAACGCGTAATTTTATTGTGTTCAAACTTTTTTGGTCAAACTTTTCTTTAAATCTGATATGTTCTATAAATCTATTTAAAGGTTCATTTTATATTAACATCTGTAAATAAATAATCTGACACAAAATTCTTTTATGGGCCAAGATACTCAGTTACATGTGGTCCAAGTTTGAAATCTAATGCTATCTTAAATATCCTAATAACCAAATCATTAGACGCTAACAGCACGACAATCCAACACATATTCAAATTGACTAATAAGATAGAAACATATTAATTAATAGAATAAAATTTATTTTGATATAATATAATATTTAATAAACTTAAGATTTGAGAGCTTTAATACTATATTAATTTAGAATAGAAATAATTTAATTAAAATATTTAAATCATTTAAAAAATTTCAATTACTTCGTTGAAAGTTGAAACACACTCTTAATCAATACTTTTGACTTTTGAATCAAAATCTCCTTTTATGAAAGAATGAAAAAAAGGTACTACAATTCTTTCTGATAAAATAACATTTATAGTGTTCATGAGTGCCTCAATATGGAAAATAAAATAATAATTCTTAGCATAGTGTAAATTGTGAACACATAATGATGACGGAAAAAAATGTAACAGGAAGCAATAGTGAGTACCGCCATAGCTGGAGCAATCATAGGAGCTGCAGTTGGTGGTTGGATCAATGATAGATTTGGAAGGAAAATATCAATACTTATTGCAGATACCCTCTTTTTATTAGGGTCAATTATAATGGCTGCTGCTCCAACTCCAGTTATTCTCCTTGTTGGTAGAGTCATTGTTGGAGTTGGTGTTGGAATGGCCTCTATGGCTTCTCCTTTGTACATCTCTGAAACTTCACCAACTAGAGTTAGAGGTGCTCTGGTTAGTCTCAATAGTTTTCTCATTACTGGTGGACAGTTCCTTTCTTATCTCATCAACTTGGCCTTTACTAAGGTGAAGAGAAACTAAATAACATTGTTGCAGTCTTTTTCATGCATTGTTCTATGATATGTGCTAAAAGAATTTGAGCATGATTTTTCATTCAGGCACCACACCCATGGAGGTGGATGTTAGGAGTAGCAGCAGCACCTGCTGTCATACAAATTGGACTCATGTTGACCCTCCCCGAATCGCCTCGTTGGTTGTACCGCAAGGTGAGCTCATCACCTTCATGCATTTTATATTGTCACATCTTCCGGCCTTGATCGGATGGTTCAGATAGAAACCCTTATTCGACCAAGAAGCATTATAATAGTTTTTAATAGTAGTATTAATTTCTTTTATGGCTTGTATTTCTCAATGATGTAACAGGGCAAAGAGGAAGAAGCAAAACTAATTTTGAAAAAGATATACGAGGTGGAGGACTACGACGATGAAATTCAAGCATTAAAAGAATCAGTTGATATGGAACTGAAGAATACAGAGAAAGTAAGCATGATGCAGCTTCTAAAAACAACATCAGTAAGAAGAGGTTTATATGCAGGTGTAGGACTCGCATTTTTTCAACAATTTATCGGTATCAACACAGTCATGTACTATAGTCCCTCCATTGTTCAATTGGCTGGTTTTGCATCCAACAGAACCGCACTTCTTCTGTCATTAATCACTTCTGGCCTCAACGCATTTGGTTCGATTCTGAGCATATATTTCATTGATAAAACCGGAAGGAAGAAACTCGCATTGATTAGTTTGATTGGTGTCGTGTTCTCTTTGACACTTTTAACCGTTACTTTTCGTGAGGCTGAGATTCATTCACCCATGGTCAGTGTCATTGAAAGCTCTAGTTTTAATAGCACATGCCCTGATTTCAAAACAGCGACTATGAATAATGAGAAATGGAATTGTATGAGGTGTTTAAAGGCTACTTCAACTTCTTGTGGATTTTGTGCTGCTCATGACAAGGTAACTCTCATTTTATAAACCTTCATGTATATCAACTAGTGTCAATTTCATGTAACACAATAAAATAATGCTTATCATATATTAACAGTGCTATTAACTTTGAAAAAATTGCAGCTCTCACCAGGGGCATGTGTAATCTCAAATGGCTCTATAAACGGCATGTGTGCGAATGATCACAGAGCATGGTACACGAGAGGATGTCCAAGCAATTTTGGTTGGATTGCGCTAATAGGCCTTGCACTCTACATCATATTCTTCTCGCCTGGAATGGGAACAGTTCCGTGGGTTGTTAACTCAGAAATCTATCCATTAAGATACAGAGGAATCTGCGGAGGAATAGCTTCTACAACTATTTGGGTTTCCAACCTTGTTGTTTCGCAATCGTTTTTGTCTCTGACAGAAGCAATTGGAGCAGCTTGGACTTTCATGCTCTTTGGAATTATTGCATTTATAGGCATTTTCTTTGTTATTGTATTTGTGCCAGAGACTAAAGGAGTTCCAATAGAAGAAGTGGAGGACATGCTTGATAAAAGGTCTGTGCAGATTATGTTTTGGCGGAAGAGAGATTCTGAAGAAAATGATAATAAAGGCTAGTTTTATGGTTGGTTCCATAGCTTTAGTTATTAATGTGTCAAGTAAACTATGGTTTGAATTAATAGTGAGTGTGTGAGAATTGCGATTTGGTCGAATATGTTATGTAATTAACATTTTAGTTCAAATGGGTAGTTTTATTTGGTGGATTGTTGGAAATTCTCATGAAATCTGTAGAGGATTATGAAGTGGGGATTTTTGATATTATTCACTTATGAAGTAATAATAAGTATTCATATATGTTTAGTTGTTTTCTTTTTCTCTTCTTTGTTGCGAAATTCATATCTGCAAATATTTATATTGGTTAATAAATTATAAAAATTATTTAAATATTTTTAATTTATTATAATCTATCTTTACATTTTTTAAGAATATATATATATATATATATATATATATATATATATATATATATATATATATATATATATATATATATATATATATATATATATATATATATATATATATATATATATAAAGTTTTCTTTAAAGCACTTTTCACATACTTTCAAATCCAATTTGCCAATTGCATACTTACACTTGTTTTATACTTTAGATTGCACTTAAACAATTTCAACATCAGACAAATTAATATCACTCTTCTTCTCCAATCAATTTCTTTTTTTTTCTGCTCCTCCGGTGTTTTATCATAGCTTACAATTACAATTTTTTAAAAATAAAATAAAAAATGTATGAATATCAAACACTTATTATATTTTGGTGGAAAAAAAATTAATATATAAAAATTTGTTGTTAAATTGTGAGCCAAAATTTAAAGGGATAATAATTTTTTTTTGTATTTAAAAGAATTATTCAATTGAAAATTTGATGTCGGCAAAATTGGGGAACACAATGTCTTTACATCCATTTTTATAATTGATGGGTCAAATTTAAAGTTTACATCTTTGAAAGAAAAATAAATATGAAAAATATAAGGGTGAAGGACTATAAAATCTTAACTTTACCTCAATCAACTATTCTACTCATTATAATTAATAAAAATATTCTGATAAATAATTTTATTATTAAAATTAATCTATCTAATTATTTTTTAAAAATCATACATAACATAAAACTAATCAATCACGCTTAAATTTCAACCGTAGTAGAACTTGTCAATTTGTTGATAACTTCCCATAAAAATAAAAAAAATTCTCACTTGGAAGCATATAAGGAAAATGATAATGACATTTCGTGCGGTATCCATAATCCATTGAAACATGGTCCATACTATTAGGCCCATATTATTTGGCCCATTGATAGATACATCACAAAGGTCTATTTTCATCCTCTCTTTATTTTCTAGCCAAGCAAATTAATCTGTTCTAACTCAAACCTCTAATCTTGTCAAAAGAAAAATAAATCTTACTTTAGTTTCATTCACTTTAACTAACAATATAAGCCATAGCTTTCTCATAGGACGAGCCCTAGGAGTGAAAGTCAAAGAATCTGCAACAGGTCCATATAATATTTTGAAAATCTGTTCATACAAGCCAATTAAATTAATTAATGAAAGCGATTGGGTGTGTCTTTTTTGTTTGATTCTCTAGCTAAATTAAGATTATATTAATTAATCAAATTAAAATATGGTATGGAAAAGAATTGTTAGCTTAATTTATACTTATTTGATTGTTGTAATACTTATCGTTTTCGATTACTCTTCATCAATATCACCCCGCATGTTGTTTGGATAAGTTGGTTGAATTAGAGTTATCAACATGAATGCAAATTCTTATACCGATTCTTGTGTGTAAAAATCGATTCCTATATATCGCATTGTTGAAAACAGTCCAAAAAAAGAATTGTATCGTTAAAGTTATACTATTCTATACATACCGACACGACACCCATATTTAACACATGTTGATAATAATATTAAAAAATTATATAAGTTTTTTATTGGCAGGCTTTTAAATTATTTCACAAATTAAAGAATAATAAAAATAATTTTACAAGAGAAATGCATGTTTATATGGTTAGAAAAGTCATTATTAATTAACTGATTATAAAAGTGACATTTTCCTTATGTTGCAAGTCAGACGTTTTAAATTTGCCACTAACCTCAAAGATAAAAATAAAAAAATAAAAAAATAAAAACTATAAAAACTGAATTATATTTCTAATACTTTTTTAGTTCAGATTTTTTATGTTTCTTAATTCAATTAGCCCTTTAAATCTTTTAAATTTGGTTTACTTCGAGGACTTGATTAGAATATTGGTAAGTTTAATTAAGTCTTGCAAAGTTTAATTTCTAACATTTCATTATCAATTTGGTCTCTTTAAAAATAACATTCTTTTTTATGTATTGACTAGTCTTACACTATGATAGATATTATGTTTTGTATTGCACATATATCTTAATAAACCAATTATCTGTTATATAAGATTCCATCTACAATTTCATCTTTTTATTCTCTTTTCAATTTAATGTTGGTTTTCATTGGTATAAATGTAAGGTTGCAATTATTCATCTTTAACTTCTTCAAAATACCTTATGTATATTTCTTCGGATGCAATAAAACTCCATGTTTTTTATTCACAACTTCCATTCCTAACCTAAGAAGTATGGAAAATTTCCTAAGTCTTACATTTCAAACTCATTATCCATGTTGTCTTTGAACTTTGTCAATTCAATCTCAATAAAACCTATCACCAATAGACCATCCACATAAAGACATAGGATGACTTGGTCGTGCTCATTTGATGCTTAAAACATACACTCCGTGTTGAAATGATCACTGGAATGGGATAACTTTATTAGGCCATAGTAGGGATGGCTTAAAGAGCACAAGCCAAGGAAATACTAGGCGAGCGCCCAACAGTGTGCTACGTGCCGCCCAAATCGAATGCTTGTTTTAGGCCCCAAAAGTTGGTTAAAGCTTTGAACATATACGATAGAATATTCAAAATGCTGCTTTGTTTTTTGTGTCCATCACTTTTCGTCCTTCTTGGTCTCTCTTCTCCATTTCTCGAATTACTTCAACATAACTCCCTTTTTCCTTAATCCCATTAACCCTAACCTTGACGCCTTTTTTCAGGTTGTAAAAGCCACGTCATTTTCCTTTATTCCCAAAATCTTTTATTTCCTTGTTGAACATCTTTATCTGATGTAGATTTGTAACACAAAATAGATCCCTTTGAATATTTTTTTAATGTTGATTCGATATTAGATTTTTGTCCATGCATTTCTAGGTTTTTCTTCATGGTGTGCTTATGAGTAGATGGGTAAAAACGAGAAGAAATTTGTTTCCCAAATGGGAGACACATTATCACTTCTATGATGATACTTATTCTTCTGAACTTCTCTCTATCTATTTCCCATTTTTACTTTTGAATACCACGTTCTTTTTTGACACGTCTTCTTGAGCCTTTTCTTCTTCTAACTTGGACTTTTAAGTGCACACCTCCTTTTGATTTGACAATACTTTTATCCCTTTTTCCATTTCCTTTTCCTTCTTAGTCTGGCAAGTGGTACTATGATTTTCCATCGCCGCCTATTCAAAGACCAATAGCTCCTTACCTATCTATTCCTTGCTTCCTACAACACGCCTTTGACTAATAGTTTAGAAGATGTTATTGCAGTCACCTTCTTCACTTTTTGAGCTCATGTGGTCATTGTGTCAGTCATAAGATAAACTTTCAGGCTCAGTTTCTGATGAGCTTGATGCAAACTTTTAATTTAATGGAATGTTGATCCTCAAAGAACCCTGGGCAATACTTTTATCCCTTTTTCCATTTCCTTTTCCTTCTTAGTCTGGCAAGTGGTACTATGATTTTCCATCGCCGCCTATTCAAAGACCAATAGCTCCTTACCTATCTATTCCTTGCTTCCTACAACACGCCTTTGACTAATAGTTTAGAAGATGTTATTGCAGTCACCTTCTTCACTTTTTGAGCTCATGTGGTCATTGTGTCAGTCATAAGATAAACTTTCAGGCTCAGTTTCTGATGAGCTTGATGCAAACTTTTAATTTAATGGAATGTTGATCCTCAAAGAACCCTGGGAATCCTTGATTACTTTGATTATGAATACATCGTCCTTAAAAATAAATATTTTTTAAATTTATGAGTTAACTATCAGCGCGCATATATATATATATATATATATATATATATATATATATATATATATATATATATATATATATATATATATATATATATATATATATATATATATATATATATATATATATATATATATATATATATATATATATATATATATATATATATATATATATATATATATATATATATATATATATATATATATATATATATATATATATATATATGACTTCTTTTATGACATACTTGAATTATTCTTATTGAAATAACAAATTAGGATTAGGGTAAGTAGTAGAATAATTATCTTAAATTTATATGTAATAGATAATAGACGATAGGGTTAAATATACGATACCCCTGCAATGTTAGCGAGTTTCGGTTTACCCCCTTATAATTTTTTTTTGGATTCTCCCTTGTAATGTCTAGATTCTATGTGTTTGGCACTTGCTTGACTATTTCAACCCAGTTTTTTTTTTTTTTTTGTTAAAATTGGGTAAATCAAATATAATTTTGCTATTTTAGATAGTAAAACATTGAAAAAAAATTTAGTTTTTGCTATCAATGGGATTCAAACACAATAGCTTATTAAGTGAGATTCTTAACCACTAGACTAACGCTCCTTTTATTTATAACATTTACATGTTAAATATATATTACAAAATAGCAAGGAACATAATCCCAACATTTAAATGGCCACAACACTGTCATTCCTAGCAAGGAACACGATCCCAACATTTTATCATAAAAATCTAATTTTTAGGCCTTTCTCTTTCCACAAATTAGGACCCAGAAGAACAAGAAATGAGTTAAATAACGCTCTAAGAGTCCTTAAACTCGTATAATCCAAAAGAAGTGTCACTGATATTGAAAATCGTCGAAGTCATCTTAGGCTAGTTGAAGACATTTTAGACAACACTGTAAGAAACGCT